CAAAAAAATTGTTTTGAAATTAGGTTAATCTATCGATTTATTCAAGTTCAAGTTTAAGCAAACGAGTAACCTGATGCTTGACGACTTACTAAACTAAATGGAATAGCAACAATGGCAAAACTCTAAAATGCAAAGCGTGTGTATCCAATCCATAATCCAACGTAACATAAATGTAAAATATGAAGATATGAAGCCCCAGCCAGCCAGCTCCTAGCCCGCCAAACCGATAATTAACATAAAAATCAATAGGTTTGTTTACACGATTAACATAAAATTTCGTTTTTTTTTTTTTGGTGGGTGATGAGCTGTGAGTTGTGATATATAAACGGAGGTCAGCGCACCGAAGTTATTCAGAAACATTTAAGCTTTTGCATCCACGACTCAACGTCCCGAAAAAAACCAAAAAAATTCAATCATGAAATTCATCATTGTCTTCGTTGCTTTGTTCGCCTTGGCTTTGGCCGCCAATCCCCAAGATGCCGAGACTTTGCGTTACGAGTCGAATGTTGAACCTGAACATTACGAATTCGCCGTTGAGACCAGTGATGGAAAAACTTTCGAAGAACAAGGACACGTTGAGGATTTGGGCACCGATGATGAAGCTATTGCAGTTAAGGGTTCCTACTCCTATGTCGGTGATGATGGTCAAACCTACACCGTCAACTATGTTGCCGACAAGAACGGTTTCCAACCCCAAGGTGCCCATTTGCCCGTTGCCTAAGTGCAGTTGTTCCTGAATCTAGTTGTTTTTTTTGCTAGTTTTTTAAGTAAAATAAATTAATTTAAAAAATAAACCTAAAAAATGTGTTGAACTTATTCGTATTCGTTGCGGGAAAAGTTGGGTGGAGACAACACTGTACAACACAAAAAAAAAAGAATTATTTCAGAAAAAAATCCAGTAGATTATGAAATTAGAGCTAAAAAGAAGAGAGGAATTAGAGCTAAAAAGTAAGAGTAACCTAAATAAAGGGGGCAAGTCCCCCTCTTCCTCCCTTTTTGGGAATTGACGGATTAAGATTTCTTGGAAAACGGACATATTAGGCACACAGCGTCTGATAGGTTATAAGAGTAAAGCTATAAACAGAAGACACATGCATCGGAATTTGGAAACTTTACAGCGCAAAATATCCTTAATAATGGCGTCGACGGAAGGAATTTCTCACTTTTTAGAGATTTTCGGATTACGATTCTTTGTAATTACGATTCGGACATGTAATGTAAATATCATATTCGGCAATACTACTGATAATAATACGCTAATTGCTAGTCACCTAAGGTGTTTTTTTGGTCCTTTTTTCAAAATATGCTTAAAAACTCCCTTTTAACGGGATCGCAGCAACTCAAAAATTATTCGTAATAAAATTCTACTATGGGCCCTAGAACATATCAATTGTCTTAATCTTACGTGAACGTCAGGAATTCGTAAATAATAAAAACTCACATTTTAGATTTAAAGCCGTACTTGATGTAAGTTTATGAAAAACTCTCCAACAAAGCATTATTTTAGGAGAATGACATTAAGGAAAAAAAATATTCTTCATCAAATTTCACTATAGGTCACCGAAGTAAAGAAATCTCTAGCATTGCGTTTTTGCAAAATGGTCAGGCTTATCCCTTTATTGTTGTTTTTATAAAAACAACGTTTGTTTATTAGTGGAGAACGATGGTAATGTTTACCAGGGGGTAAGGCAGGGAATACCTAGGTTTCGGAAAGAGCCACCAATCCTCATCAGTTCCCTTGTTTTGTCTGGGATATTCTCCCCAGAAGTTATTTTAAAAATAACTTCTATGACAAAAAACATTTTTTACCCAAGTGACGAGATCGTAAGCTCAATAGAAGAGGAACCAAAGAATTATATAAAACTAAAATTCTATGTATCAAGAAAATATTTGCATCAAAGTTGCAAAAAAAGAAACTTAAAAGAAATCATTATTTTTGGGCAATTTTCGCTTGCCCTTTTTATGACTGAATGCACAAAAGTAACATAAAATTTCATTTTAGACAGAAAATGTCAAAAGAAGAAATATTCTACACTAAATTTCATTATTAATCTCGGAATAAACCATACATCTAAGTTTAATGGGTTCTACGAAAATTACATTCGAAACTTATATATTAAAAGTAAAAATAATGTGTTTAGTGATAATTTAACACGTTTTTATTCTAAGTCAATATCTGCCTTACTTTTTCATTTTTTGGGGAAAGCATCAAAAAAAGAAATATTCTAGATCTAATTTTAGTATGAGTCATCAAAGAAAAGAAATCTCTATTTCTATTATTTATCAAGAAAATATTAGAATCAACGTTGCTAACAAAAATAATCCGAAAATATTTGATCATTTCTTGATAAATTTTTCCTCGGGCTTTAATCGACTGAAGGCAAAAAATTTACCTAAAGTTCCACCTCAGGTAGAAGGTGTCAAAAGAGGAAATATTCTACACTAGATTTCATTACTAATCTCAGAATAAACTATATAACTAGGTTTAATAGTTTCTAAGAAAATTGTAATCGAAAATTGTACAATACAACTGAAAATTATTTGTTTACTGATAATTTAACAGGTATACAATCTAAGTCAAAATCTCCCTTACTTTTTAATTTTGTGGTGAAAGTATCAAAAGAAAAAATATTCTAGATCAAATTCTACTATTAGTCACCGAAGAAAGGAAATCTCTATTTCTATTATTTATCAAGAAAATTGTAGCATCAAAATTGCAAGAAAAATAATCCGAAAATATTTCATAATTTTTCATAAATTTCCCACGGCCTTTTTTCGACTGGATGCATAAAAGTAACATAAAATTTCCTATAAGACAGAAAGTATCAGGAGAAGAAATATTCTTTACAAAATTCCATTACAAATCCCAAAAAAAAACCATACATCTAAGCTATTTTAACACATTTCCATTCTTAGTCAAAATCTCCCTCATTTTTTCATTTTTGAGGAAAGTATCAAAAGAGGAAATGTCCTGGACCTCATTTAACTATTAGACACCAAAGATAAGAAATCTCTATTTACATTATTTATGAAGAAAATATTTGCATCAACGTTGCAAAAAAAAAATCCGAAAATATTTCATAATTTTTTGATCAATTTTCCTCGGTCTTTTTCGACTGGATGCATGAATGTACCATAAAATATCGTCTTAGACAAAAAGTCTCAAAAGAAGAAATATTCTACACTGAATTCCACTATAAATCTCAGAATAAACTATATAAATAGGTTTAATAGTTACTAAGAAAATTGTAATCGAAAATTTTATAATACAAGTGAAAATTTTGTGTTTTTAACGTTTTTATTCTAAGTCAAAATCTCCCTTACTTTTTATTTTTTAGGGAAAGTATCAAAAGAAAAAATATTCTATTTCTATTCTATTTCAATTTTAGTATGAGTCATCAAAGAAAATATATCTCTATTTCCATTGTATATATTGAAAATAAATAAAATGAATAAATAAAAAATAATCCGAATTATTTCATAATTTTTTGATCCTCGGCCTTTTGTCGACTGGATGCATAAAAGTAACATAAAACTTCTTTTTAGACAGAAAGTATCAAAGTAAGAAATATTCTGCACTAAATTCCCTTGTTAATCTCAGAATAAACTATGTAACTAGGTTTAATAGTTTCTAAGAAAATCGAAAATATTTCGATATGAGCCACTAAATTTTCTAGTTTCTAAAATTATTCCAGTGACAGCTCAGAATTTTCCAGAAAAAAAGTTATTCGTGATGGAATTCAAGCCTGATAGTGAGATTTCTTTATAGTTGGCTGGAGAACCAAAACTGGCTATCGTTAGAGCACTCCAGCATTTAAATGTGAATAAATCTTTTGTGTCTCGTACCATGGCTCGATAGCCAGACGTCAAGGAAGTGACGGAAGAAAAAACACCGTCAGCAGAAATTATTCGAAAGTAATGAAGCGACTTGATCGAAAACCGCGTCGCAGTGGCCGAAAAATGGCTCATGTGCTGAACATATCGCAATATTCGCAATATCGGCAAATATTGAAAAATGAGCTCGGGGTAAAGCCATTGAAATTCCAAAAAGTGCAAGAACTTACACCGCGCGGCAGAAAGAAAATTGACTCAAAAGAGCTAAAGAGTTGCTTCGCTTGTCCGAAAGTGGTGAACTGCCGAATTTGGTTTTCTCCGTCTCCGATGAGAAAACATTCGTTGTCCAGCAGTTTATGAAGAGTTGCTCCACTTGGCCGAAAGTGTTTAACTGCCGAATTTAGTTTTCTTCATCTCCGAGGAGAAAATATTCGTTGTCTAGCAGTTTGTAAACAAACAAAATGATCGTGTTTACTTGCCAAAGAGGTCAGTTGAAAATGTGCACCTTCGGTTGGCCACAAAAACTCAAGCGTCGGCCATGATGGTTTGGGCCGCCATAACAGCCGATGGTCGCTCTCCGCTAGTACTAATCGACAGTGGCATCAGAATAAATGCCGAATATTTCCGTCATTCTTTGCTTTCATTCAAAAAAATTTAGAAAAAAAAAATGTAAAAATTATAGCGTTTGACTTTGTTGCAGTTTTTTATCTCACCCTGTATTAAGGTACGATTTCGACTTTTGATGTATTCTTGAACCTATAGCAGAAGTTTCTGGCAAATACTATTGTTACGATGCCGTTTCAAATCGAGTTTTTAACCATTTTGTAAAAAATCGATTAAAATACGGTCAAGTGTTTACATTGGAAGACTTCATCAAGATAGGTCATCATCACTTAACGTTGGACATAATCAACGAATGCATCTGTAACGCCAATCAATATAAATATGAATAATCTATTCAATGGTCAAAAACGACGACAGCTTATACGCCCATAATGTAAATGCACCATTAAATCTCCAAGCATTAACTAATTTACGCATGCAAACTGGTCCATTAAGATGCGGCCGGTGGGGGTTAACAGGTCAGTGCTGAACACCAAATGTTAAATGGTATAAAAACACATTCAACCATCGGCATATTATTCACTCCCGTCTTTTCGCTCTCATCGCACAAAGCAGATCAACCCAACCCAACGCCATAATGAAATTCATCATTGTCTTCGTTGCTTTGTTCGCCTTGGCTTTGGCCGCCAATCCCCAAGATGCCGAGACTTTGCGTTACGAGTCGAATGTTGAACCTGAACACTACGAATTCGCCGTTGAGACCAGTGATGGAAAAACTTTCGAAGAACAAGGACACGTGGAGGATCTCGGTACCGATGATGAGGCTATCGCAGTTAAGGGTTCCTACTCCTATGTCGGTGATGATGGTCAAACCTATACCGTCAACTATGTTGCCGACAAAAACGGTTTCCAACCTCAGGGTGCCCATTTGCCTGTTGCCTAAATACCAAAGAAATTAAATTGTTATTAGTAGATTATTTAAGGAAATAAAATTAAAAAAAAAATATATTTAAAAATTATTGTTTTAATTAAATTTAACATCGCCAACTTCGAAATATCCAACAAAATCGGAAATTGATTTAATTGGAGATGGCAGGTTCCCCCATTTTTTTAAAATTTTTAAAGTTTTCAGATTAAGATTCCTTGAGAATGATCGCGCATTTCATTTTCGTGAAAACATTTAACCCTCAATCGAGTCACCAAAACGGTCTTTTTGGTCCTTTTTTAAAAATAGGGTTAACAAAATCGTAGCAATTCAAAATATCTTACAAAGGATACTCGCCGATTTTGTTGCGAGTACTATCAAATCCATTTGGATATCCCCATCACCCAGGCTGCCTTATGGATAGTGGAATTACAGGAATTTACAGGAAATTCGAAAAAGTGATAAATTTACTGAGGTTTATATAAAAACCAAAATTTATGATATATTTTTTTATGGTACATATTGAGTGTACCCATTCCTTTTTTTCAGAGACACACATTTAAATATGATCTAGAATATTTCTTTCTTTTATACTTTTCTCAAAATATGAAGAATTCTGGGAGATTTTGATTTAGATTGGAAACGTGTTAAATTGGTAGTAAGAAATGTTAACATATTATTTTAACTTGATTTATAAATATTTCGAGTGGAATTTTCTTAAAAACTGTTACACTTAGATATACAGTTTATTCTGAGATTTAAAATGAAATGTTGTGTAGAATATTTCTTACTTTGATAGGTTTTGTTTAGAATGAAATTTTATATAAATTCATGCATCAAGTCCTTAAAAGTCAAAGCATTTTTTCACAAAAAAAAATAGAAAATATTTCTGTTTTTGATGAAATTAATGCTAATATTTTCTCGATCTATAAAGGAAATATAGATTTCTTTTTTTTTTTTTTTTGTGGGTGACTAATAGAAAATTGAATCTAGAATATTTTTTTTGACACTTTCCCCATTAAATTAAAAGATAAGGGAGACTATGGCTTAAAATGAAAACTTAGGAAAAATGTACTAAAAAATATATAAAATATTTTCCTTTTTTTGACACAGTGATGCCAATATTTTCTTAATAAATAATAAAAATAGAGATTTTTTTCTTCAATGACTAATAGTAAAATTGGGTCTTCAATGCCATTTTCTTAGAAACTGTTAAACCTAGTTATACGCTTTATTCTGAGATTAATAATAGAATTTAGTGTAGAAAATTTCTTCTTTTGACACTTTCTGTCTAAAATGAAATTTTTTTGTTACTCGAAAAAAGCCAAAGAAAAATGTATTTAAAAAAATTAAAAATATTTTCCTTTTTTGGCCACATTGATGCTGATATTTTCTTGATAAATAATGGAAATGGAGATTTTTTTCTCGTTGGTAACTAATAGTAAAATTTGATTTAGAATGTTTCTGCCTTTGATACTTTCCTCAAAAATTGAAAAAGTAAGGGACTTAGAATTAAAACATATTAAATTATCAGTAAATATATAATTTTCACTTGTAATATATAAGTTTCGAATGCAATTTTCGTACAAACTATTTTACGTAGATGTATAATTTCTTCTGAGATAATATGAAATTTTATGTTACGTAAAAAAGTAACATAAACAATCGAAAAAAGGCCGAGGGAAATTGATCAAAAAATGGTGAAATATTTTCGGATTATTTATCTTGTAGCGTTAATGCTAATATTTTCTTGATAAATAATGAAAATAGAGTATTCATGTCTTTGGTGTCTAATAATAAAATTGGATCTAGAACATATCCTCCATTGATACTTTCCTCAAAAAAATGAAAAAATAAGGAAATTTTGGCTTAGAATGGAAACGTGTTAAATTGTCACTAAACACATACATTTCACTTGTAGTATATAATATTCGGGTGGAATTTTCTTAAAAACTGTTACACCTAGATGTATAGTTTATTCTGAGATTTATAATAGAATTTAGTGTAGAATATTTCATATTTTGAAATTTTCCACCTAAATCGAAATTTTATGTTACTTTCGTGCATTGAATCCAAAAAAGACAGAGGAAAAATTTATATAAAAAAATAATAATATTTTCTTGATAAATAATAAAAATAGAGATTTCTCTTTATTGGTGACTAATAGTAAAATTGGATCTAAAATATTTTTTTCTTTGACACTTTCGCCAAAAAAATAAAAAGTAAAGCAGAATTTGACTTAGAATGGAAACCTGTTTAAAATAAGTAAACCCATGTTTTTCACTTGTAATATATAATTTTCGAATACAATTATATTAGAAACCATTGCATCTAGATATATGGTTTATTCTGAGATTGATAATGGAATTTAGTATAGAATATTTCTTCTTTTGACACTTTTTGTCTAAGACGATATTTTATGTTACATTCATGCATCCATTTGAAAAAAAGAGGCGTGGAAAATTGATCAAAAAATTATGAAATATTCTCGGATTTTTTTTTTGCAACATTGATGCAAATATTTTCTTGATAAATAACGGAAATAGAGTATTCATGTCTTTGGTGACTCATAGTAAAATTGGATCTAGAATATTTCTTCTTTTAACATATTCCGCAAAAAATGAAAAAGTAAGGGAGATTTCGACTTAGAATGGAAACGTGTTAAATTATCACTAAATACATACATTTCACTTGTAGTATATAATATTTGAGTGGAATTTTCTTTAAAACTGTTACACCTAGATGTATAGTTTATTCTGAGATTTATAATAGAATTTAGTGTAGAATATTTCATCTTTTGATATTTTACACCTAAAACGAAATTTTATGATACCGTCGTGCATTAAATCCAAAAAAAAAGACGGATGAAAAATTTACTAAAAAAATATAAAATATTTTCCTTTTTTGCCAGCATTGATGCTAATATTTTCATGTTAAATAATGAAAATAGAGATTTGTCTTCTTTGGTGACTAATAGTAAAATTGGATCTAAAATATTTTTTCTTTGACACTTTCGCCAAAAAAAATAAAAAGTAAAGCAGAATTTGACTTAGAATGGAAACCTGTTTAAAATAAGTAAACCCATGTTTTTCACTTGTACTAAATAATTTTCGAATACGATTTTCTTAGAAACTATCAAACCTAGTTATATGGTTTATTCTGAGATTTACAATAGAATTTAGTGCAGAATATTTCTTATTTTGACATTTTCTGTCTAAAATGAAATTTTATGTTACTTTTATGCATCCAGTCGAAAAAAGGCCGTGGGAAATTTATCAAAAATTATGAAATATTTTCGGATTATTTTTCTTGCAATTTTGATGCAAATATTTTCTTGATAAATAATGGAAATAGAGATTTCTTTTCTTTGGTTACCACTACTAAAATTGGATCTAGAATATTTCTTCCTCTGACACTTTTCCCAAAAATTGAAAAAGTAAGGGAGATTTTGACTTAGAATGAAAACCTGTTAAATTATCAGTAAATACATAAGTTTTACTTGTAACATATGAATTTCGAAAAAAAAATTCTTAGAAACTATTAAACCTAGTTATATGGTTTATTCTGAGATTAGTAATGGAATTTAGTGTAGAGTATTTCTTCTTTTGCCACTTTCTGTATAAAATGAAATTTTATGTTACTTTGTTATGTTATGCATCCAGTCGAAAGAAGGCCGTGGGAAATTTATCAAAAATGATGAAATATTTTCGGATTATTTTTCTTGCAATTTTGATGCAAATATTTTCTTCATAAATAATGGAAATAGAGATTTCTTTTCTTTGGTTACCACTACTAAAATTGGATCTAGAATATTTCTTCCTTTGACACTTTTTCCAAAAAATGAAAAAGTAAGTGAGATTTTGACTTAGAATGAAAACCTGTTAAATTATCAGTAAATATATAATTTTTATTTGTATCATATAAATTTCGAATACAATTTTCTTAGAAACTACAAAACCTAGGTTTATTGTTTATTCTGAGATTAGTAACGGAATTTACTGTAGATTATTTCTTCTTTTGACACTATCTGCCTAAAATGAAATTTTATGTTACTTTTATGCATCCAGTCGAAAAAAAAGCCAAGGAAAAACTGATCAAAAAATGACGATTTTTTAAAGTTTTTTTTTGTAAATTTGATGCAAATATTTTCTAATATTATATAATGAAGGTAGAGATTTCTTTACTTCGGTGACCTATAGTGAAATTTGATGAAGAATATATTTGTCTTTGGCATCATCTTCCTAAGAAAATGCTTTGTTACAGAATTTTTCATAAACTCACATGAAGTATGATTTTAACCCTAAAATATGAGTTTTTATTATTTATGAATTCCTGGCATTCAGGTATGTTTTAGTCATTTGATGTATTCTAGAATCCATAGTAAATTTTTATGACAAATAATGTTGTAGGACATTTTGATTTGCTACGAACTCGTTTAAAGGGAGTTTTTAGCCATATTTTGAAAGAAGGACTAAAAATGTCTCCTAGGTGACTCGCTTCAGGGTTAACTTTTTCTAACAAAATATTTCTCGTTTTATTATCAGTAATATTGCCGAAGACACTATTTACCACAAGTATGGTATGGGATTCCGGGGAATCTTAATCCGAAAATTTCCAAAAAGTGAGCAAGTCCTTTCGCCCTCTTTATTAAGGATATTTTACGCTGTAAAGTTTCAAAATTCCGATGAAAGAGTCTTCTGTATTTAGCTCTACTCTCATAACCTATTAGACACTGTGTGCCTAACATGCTCAGTTTCCATCGAATCTTAATCCGACAATTTCCCAAATTGAGGAAGAGGGGGACTTGGCCTCCTTCATTCAGGTTACTTTGCGAAGTAAACTTTCAAAATGCCGATACATGAGTCTTTTCTATTTAGCTCTACTTTCATAACCTACTGAATTTTTCCTTTAATTATTTATTTTTATTATTTTTTTTTTGTTGCACCAACTTTTTCCCCCAAACGAATAAAAAACTTCAACATTTTACTTTGGTTTCTTTTTTTTAAATTAAATTTATTTTACTTAGAAAACTAGCAACAACTAGATAACACATTTCAGGAACTTCAAAATTCCACTTAGGCAACGGGCAAATGGGCACCTTGGGGTTGGAAACCGTTTCTGTCGGCAACATAGTTGACGGTGTAGGTCTGGCCATCATCACCGACATAGGAGTAGGAACCCTTAACTGAGATAGCCTCATCATCGGTACCCAAATCCTCTACGTGTCCTTGTTCTTCGAAAGTTTTTCCATCGCTGGTCTCGACGGCGAATTGATATTGTTCAGGTTCAACATTCGAGTCGTAACGCAAAGTTTCGGCATCTTTGGGATCGGCGGCCAAAGCCAAGGCGAACAAAGCAACGAAGACAATGATGAATTTCATGATTGAATTTTTTGGTTTGAATTGGGGGATGTGTTGATACACTGAACTGTGTTGGGTTTGTGGATGCCAAGATGTTGTACCATTTCGTTTATATATCCAAAAGGTGTGTGTGTGTGTGTGAATGGCAAATGTTGAGGCAAACACACACGCAACGCACACATGTCGTTTGAGAGTTGTTAACAACAGTTGGCGGCGGGTGTGTGTAGCTTGTGCGGGTCTAATGATAAATGCAAATGCACATTAACACCATTTTGTTGGTGTTGTGCTGTAAGATTTGGGTTATCTTGGCGAGATTTAGGGTTTTTGCGACGAAGATGAGTCTCTGTTTCGTTGATGTTGAGGTTTGATGCCACTGTAACAGCGGGAACGTAAACAAATAAAATCATAATCAATTAGTCTGTTTTTGTCGGTCTTTCTCCAATACGAACATACCTACAAAGGCAAAATTCGGCTATGACAACAAAAAACCATAACCTTTTCAAATTCAAATATATAAATTTGAGATATGTAAATTTCATGAGAAATATTAGGGGGGCGATTGCAATGCCAACGACCTGTTACAAGACCTGCGGCATTTTTATATTCATTTTTTGATGACTTGTTTTAGTGTCATAGGTTATGGTTAAATCGTTTGGATGCAGATATTCGAAGACATACATATGTATGTATAGCACACAATATGGATCGTTTAAAATTATTGGAAATATGATTTTAGATTTTTGAGGATATTTTTAATAATGTTTCGGAAGCCATAATCGAGAATTTTTAAAGGGATTTTTAAGAAAATATTTTAAATATATTTGAGCCCAAAGTCGCGAATTTTTCTGAGTGTTTTCAAGTTAAAATCGTGGACTTATTAATAATATTTTTGAACTGTGCCACAAATTTCATTTTCTTTCAATAATTACTGATAAAATTTAGTAGATTATTGAAATAGAACAAAAAAATAGAAAAGCTTACATCGGAAAGTAACCTTAGAGGGTGGGAAATTTCCTCCTCCTTTGATATTTTTTGAAAATTTCGAATTAAGATTAATTGAAATCCGTTTAGGTACGAGGTTTATTTTGGGCCGAACTTTGAATACCCTCCACCATTTGAACGAATTTGGCAATTCTCAAAAACAATAAAATCCGTTAAAAATTCTGTTAAAATCTTAAAAATACCGAATGTAGTTTTTATATTAGAGTCGTAGTTTTTATATTACGACGACATGAACATGCAAAGGTAACTTTTGTCATAAGCCATTACAATATTCAAATGGGAAACTTAAAAAAAAAATTGGTGAATAATCATCAAAAAACCGATTATTGGGAGGTACCGTTATATGGGGCTATACGAAGAAGTGGACCTGCACAGACAATTTTCTGTTTTAGGCTGTAGTATCCATTACGAACTTCAAATACGAAAATTGAAACAATTCCGGTGAATAATATCGCTTAAATCATCAAAATGCCGAATATCGGGAGATACCGTTTTATAGGGGCTATAAGAGCACAAACAATCTTCAGTAATAGGCTGTAGCATCCATTACATACATCAAATACCAAAATTGAAACAAATCTGGTGAATAATGACGCTAAAATCATCAAAATACCGAATATAATAATCTGTAGCATCCATTACGAACATCAAATACCAAATTTGAAAGAATCCCGAGGAATATTGTCGCTGAAATCAATTAAATATCGAATATGGGCAGGCACCGTTATATGGGGGCTAATGTGGACCTACATAGCCCATTTTCAATACCAAAAGTCCTGCAGACATAATATATATTTGAGTACAATTTTATCAATCTACTTCAATTTGTTCGGAAGCTAGAGTGATTTCCACAGACGGATAGGCGGACGGACATCGCTAAATCAACATAGAATTTTATGTTGATCAAGAATATATATACTTTGTGGGGTCTAAAATGTATATTTCGAGGTGTTACAAACGGAATGACAAGCTTAATATACCCTCCATACTATGGTGGAGGGTATAAAAAGGGGTATGGGATTTTAGCATGTTAAAATACTCTACAAAATTATTTGTCATAAAATTCCATTATCGATTTTAGAACGTCAAGTCTAACCTGAACGCCATGAATTCATAAATAATAGAAACACGCTGTTTAGGGTTAAACAAGTACTTCATGGGAATTTATGCAAATATTCTCCGACAAAGCATCATTTTAAGAGGATGACGTCAAAGGCAAAAACATTTAACTTCAAATTTCACTAAGTCACCAATGAAAAATAGTCACTATATTTATTATATTGTAAGTTACGTAAATAAAGGGGCAAGTCCCCCTCTTCCTCACTTTTTGGAATTTTTTTTGATTTCGATTCGATTCAATTCCTTTGGAATTAATGCATGAAAGTAATATAAAATTTCACGTTATACAGAAAGTGACAAGAGAAGAAACATTCTACACAAAATTCCATTCTAAATATCAGAATAAATTCATATATTTCAAATGAAAATTAGGTGTTTAGTGATAAATGAACACGCTTCCATTCTAATTCAAAATCAACCAAAAAAAAAAGCAAAGAATAATTATAGCTCTCATAAAAGGGCGAAATAAGCACTCGATTTTATTCAAATGTCAAATATTTCAAATTTTCTATTGATTGGTGTGAAGATGAGAAATATCAACCCACTCCTTCTTGTATTTCACCCACACAAGTTTACAATTTTCTACGATTTTCTAAGTCAGCGGTACTTTTAAAACTTCGTAACCTGAGATCTGATGTGAATATAAAATACAACGGCTCATTCCTTCTGGTACCTACCCCACAAAAGGTTTAAATTTTGATTAATTATTAGCATTAACATGGAATTAAAGGTGAGATGATTGATATTTTTTCAGAGTTAGATGAAATGGAATACTTCATTCCACTATATCTGCCAACTCACAGAAATTTTTAAATTTTCTAAAAAAAATTACATTTTTCATGTAAAGGTAAATGAAGAAGTCGATATAGCTCAAATTTGGCACATTTATATTGGACTCAGATACGAAATAAATAACATTGGTCCACTCCCTTGGAACAACCATGAGAACTGTCTGAGCCACAATAGGGGTATTTATACCCTACAACACTATGTGTTGGGGGTATTATAAGTTTGATTGGGCCAAAAATTATGTAACACCTCGAAATATTGGTTTCCCACATAGGAAAGTATATATGGATCTTCCTAGCTCGCCGAGCTGAGTCGATCTAGCTATGTATGTCCGTCCGTCCGTCCGTCTGTCCGTCTGTCTGTCTGTCCATGTTAATTTGTAATCACTCTACAGGTCGCAATTATGGCTTCGATCTTCACGAAATTTAGAATGTAGGTGGGGCTTGGACCAGAATAGAACCCTATTGCTTTTGGAGATGATCGCCAAATGTTTAGGGGTTGAAATGGATCAAATACTGAAAAAATGTCGGATTTTGCAGTAGCTATACAGGTCGCAATTATAGACCAATCAACGCGAAATTTCGCATGTAGATAGAGTTTAGGGCGGGGAAGAAGCCTACTAATTTGGGTGGTCATCGGATAATATTTAGCGGGTAAAATATACCATATCTTTTGTGTTGAAAAAAATCAAAATTTTTCATTAAACCGTGATTATTTTAAATCCCGGCGAAATCACAAAGCCATCACAAGGTTACTTCTGACCTTTACATTGATGTTATTATCCAACAAATCGGATATATAGCAAAATATGTGCGATATATATGTCTATCAAAGGAGATATGCTTGAAAGATCTCTTATATGTAGAGAACGGCTGAACTGATTTCGACAATTCTCATTAATTCAGAATGGCCTCTTGGCAGGAAACAAAAAACGTCTAAAAAAATCGCATAAAATTATTTCTCTAAAGATGAAAACATTGATTTTGTAAAATTTTCTCATATTTTTGGCATATTTTCATTTTGAATTAAACAGTTGGTAATATTTCTACAGCTAACAAAACTAAGTAGTTAGGATATCAGGATATCATATACGGATCGCATTTATGGCCCGATCCTTACGAAATTTTGCATGGGGATAATATGAGGGTCAGAATAGAAGCCTACTATTTTTGAAGATGATCGCCATATATTTAGGGGTTGAAATGGACCAAACCACTGCAAAATTGTCAGCAGGTCATAATTATCGCCCTATCCTCACGCACATTTAAATGGGGGTTACCGGACATTGCAAAAGCCAAGCAGTTTTGGATGGCCATCCAAAAATATCCAATGTGCGAAATAGTTTGCCAACTTTTTTAGACAAAATACGAAAATGTCCATTCCAGTGACTCTTTGGAGAATTCTCAAATACAGGAAAGACGCACTTCTGACTATTTCGTTAATGCTGATTTCGTGGAAGAATATAGTCAAATGTCTGTATCTCATATAGATGCGTTTCAGTCAAAAACCAATAATAAATGTTAATCTTTTGCCACTTCTGAGAGATTATAGGTCTTTGGGAAATATTGGTTCCAGATCAAGGAAGACCATTTACGTGCAACATCTACCAATAAATTGGAAATGAGCAAATTAGAGAACGAAACCTGATGGTTTTCTTTTATTATTTGTGACAATATCTTGTGGAATTCTTTCGAGTATCTCGCCTTTATAAACTGTATCACTTATTATAGTGTTGTAGGGTATTCAACGGTTGGCCCCGCTCGACTGTAGCCTTTGCTTACTTGTTTTTGAATAGTTTTAAAAGCACTCTCTGAGCATAATCGTGCGATTAAAAAAATACTATTTTGCCAGCCTCAATTTTATACCCTGTCTGAGTCATTTCCGTGGAGTTTTATAGGTTTTCTATAGTTATTAGAGTTTTTTTGAATGACATTTTTGAAATAATTTGAAATATTTGCGTATTATGCAATTATTTATTATTCTTCTAAAATTCCTGTGGATTTAAAACAAATATAAATATTTTTAAATTATCAAAAAAAATATCTTTATTTTAATATTTTTAAAATCGTAGAGGATTTCTAAAAACTTGATTAAAAAAATTATATTTTCCAGTCAGAAAGAAATAATTGTAGGTTTTTATTTATTTATTTTTATATTTTTGTATTAATTTATTTATTAAAAATATGTTTAATGCACTGAATGGGTTATTACCTTGTATTTTTTGAAGATTTTTAAATCATTGACTGGACCATTATCGATATTGTGCCAATATTGTTGCTTTTGATTTCATTTCATTTTTTATACCCTTCAAAATACATAGTAAGGGGGACTATATTAAGTTCGTCATTCTGTTTATAACTAATCGAAATAATATTTTTAGACTTAACAGAATTTACATACTCTTGATCAGCGATTTACGATTTAGCCCTGTCCGTCCATCCGTCTGTTGTAATCCCGATAGAGTCAAAACGAGTTAAGATAGGATGATCAAATTTTTCACAGATCAGTCTTTTGTGTGCAAGCAGGTCAAGTACGAAGATGGACTATATCGGTCCACAATATTGTATAGCCCCAGGATAACGGTAACTCCCGATATTCGGTATTTCGAAGATGTTAGCCACACTTTTCAATAGAATTGTCTGAAATTCTATACATGGAGTTTTATGTGATTACTTAAACCCCTGGAAGAGAATTGTCTATATAGGTTAACCATATTGTATATGCCCCATGAAACGATACCTCCCAATATTCTGTATTTTTCGCCGCATTTTGTAATGGAATTGTCTGAAAATCCACACAAGGACTTCCTTTTCGCAGTTTACCTTCTGGAAAAGAATTGTATATATTGGTCCACGATATCTTATAGCCCCCATACAACGGTACCCCTCGATATTCGGTATTTTGATGATTTTAGAGACATTTTTTTACCCAAATTGTTTCGAATTTCGTATTCAAAGTTAGCAATAGGTACTACGGCCTATGACAAACAATTTTATATGCTGCACCACGCCATCGTATTGCCCCAAATCGTATTTTTAGAGGGTTTTTTTTTGGAATATTTTCAAGTTCCTTCAAAATGGTAGAGGGTATTAAAAATTCGGCCCGGCCCAACATAGCCCCTTCTTTCTTTTTTCTATTTATTTATTTATTATTATTTTTTTTTTTTTTTTTGAAGAACTGCCTGGGCTATTTTTACAGATTGTTTAAGACTTTTAAGGCCCTGCATGGTCAGTTTCGAGGAGTTTTCCAGATTTTTTATTTATATATTTATTTTTTTATTTATTTATTTATTTATTTATTTATTTTTTTTTTTTTTTTTTTTTTGATTTCACAATAATTACTCTTTAATTTTTTTTTATTTTATTTATTTATTATAACTATATATATTTTTTTTTTTTTTTTTTTTTTGAAAAAATATAAAATATTTTTGAAATCCCCATGCATTTAATCCATTGTTTGTATATTTATATTTTTTTTTAAGTTATTACAATTTGGTTGATTTTATAAAACGTATATTTTAAGCCTCTATCTGAGTCATAATCGTGGATCTTTTGAAATTGTTTTTTGGATCCAATTTATTTAACTTTTTTACAGAATTTTTAACATTTTTAAGATTCAGATTTTTTTCTATATTTTTTTATTTATTTTTTTATATTTTTTTTTATTTCACAATAGGAACTATTTAATATTTTTTATTTATTTATTTTTTTCGTGTAAAAAATATTAAATATTTTTCAAATTCTCATGCATTTTAGCCATTTTTTATATATTTTTTTTAATTATTAATATCTGGTAGATTTTATAAAAAGTATATTTTAAGGCTCTTTGTGAGCCATTATCGGAGATCTTTTGAGAATTTTTTTTGGGAGGCACTTTTTCTTGAGCTATAAACCTGACTTCTTTTTCCAAATAATTTTTTTTTGAAGAATTTTGAAACAATTATTACTTACCCTTCCTAATGTGGTTTTAGGTGCCACTCCAAATAAAAAACCAATCGTTTTTTTTTTCTTTTAACACTGACTGAACGCTTTTAATCCTCCCCCCAAGGAATAGACACACTATTCCTGGGTTAACAAACTTATCCGAAAATATTTACAAAAGAATGGCGATGGTAAATCAAAACAAAATAGAAAACATAATTTAAGAAAAAAACGGCTATCCATTTTTGGGGCGACAAACTTATTTTGGTATGTGGGCACCTTCGGGTTGGAAACCATTTTCATCGGCCACAAAGTTCACGGTATAGGTTTGGCCATCGGGAGCTACCCATGACACAGAGCCTTTCACCGACAACGATTCATTTTCGGTGCCGGCATTGATGACGGTACCCTCTTCGGTGCGGGTTGTGCCATCACTTAAGGTGTAACTGGGAATTAAGAGAGGGAGGGGAGTTATTTTATTTTCCATCAAATGGAGGTCAGTCTGTGGCTTACCTAAACTTGTAACCATCAATGCCAATGTTTTCATTGGTTAACTCAACAATTTCCACATCCTTGCCTCCTTGCGGTGCTGCCCAGGAGCAGGCCAAGACAATGCAGAAGATTCCAAAGACTAGCATCTACGAGGAACATACCGAAAAAATATTGAAAATAATATCCATTAGAATTTCAAGTTTCTTTTTTTTTTTTTTTTCTTCGACTGCAGTTGCCGTTTCACAAAAATTATAATCCTTTTACACAACCACCCGATTACGCACCAATTTCATGTTGATAATATTTTTGTTGCTTTGTTTTGCTTTGCTAAGTAGAGGAGGCTTAGTGGACTTGAAGGTTTAGTCACAAACTGTAGAATACTTTCAGAACTGCAGCTTAGATGCATTTTATACGATTAGAGCATCTTTGGTGGTTCTTCGAGAAAAAGATGCCACCGCCACCACCATCATCTGACAGCCGGCAGCATTGCATTGTCATAAATTCTAAGGTTTGTAATTCTTTGTAAAATTTGCAGAGACACACGGACAAACATGCATAACGACCAACACACGACATTTGTCCAGCACCAACAACGCCAATAATAATGTCAGACAACTTCTTTAGCATTTCGTCTAAGTTTAAATGCTAATCGTTTGGAAAATGGTGGGAAGGAGGACGAGAAGGGAGGGAGGTAGGCAAGCATGCATGCTACGCACACTGACTGCAGCAGCGGCGGGTGCATGGATGCAATTCAACAGCATCTATGCCTCTCTTCCTCTCATTCTCTGAAATGATGAGTAAATATTGTTAAATCCGTGAACAGACAGACAAACAAACGTCGCCCGGCGTCTTAGCGACAAGTTAAAACGTGTGCCAGTAATGCAACTAACATTTAAGAAAAATCAATGATGCCACCAATCATCCCATCCCAACGATTCTGTTGAGCCCCCATCACCAGCAACAACAACAACCACAACACACAGTCATACATGTATGCATGCAACTGACAACCAGGTATTACCACTCATACCAGTTAGCTGGTCAAACACTGATATGGACATTGAAGAACAGTTTGATGCTGATGCTGCTGCCGCTGCATGCATTTGAAGAAGAATATTATTTTCAAACTATGAACTTTTGATAAAAATGAAGAAAAAAAAGCTGGTCTTTACAGCATCGCTTCGTGCGTGGCGTCTGGATAATTTTATTCTTAACATTTTGAATTGGCCATTAGTCAGAATAGCAAAACCAAAAAAAAAAACTGGTATGCCTTGCAATGTCGTTGATTTTTTTCCATAACCCCTATTTGTACAATGTATGAGAATATGACCTCTTCAATGTGGTGGAAAAATAATTTTGGGAACGAAAATTTCTTAAAAAAATTATTTTTGAGAATTTGTCGAGGTTCTAAGGTGACTGTAAAAAAAAAATAAAATATCGCAGGCGCAAACTGGTATATTTTAAAAATATTTTTCAGAATCAATCCAATCAATCTGGAATTTTTTACAAATATTTGGCAGAATCTCCCCGAACCTTAGGAATTGTTTTTTATACCCTCAGCCATATGGCTACAGAGGGTATATATCATTTGATACGGCCAAAACGTGCCTAGTCGAAATAACGGTTTTAGACCCTAGGTCTCTTTGGACCAAATCCGTTTCAGAACATTTGGAGTCGATCTAGCGATGTCCGTCCGTCCGTCCGTCTGTCTGTCTGTCTGTCTGTCTGTCTGGCTGGCTGGTGCGCAAGATAACTCTCGAAGGGAGTATCCGATTTGGTCCAAATTAGCTACATCGTAATATTTTTGTCAAACTTAGATCGAGTTCGGAGATGGGCAATATCGGTCCACTCCTTCTTGTACCTCTCCCACAAAAGGTCGAAATGTTCAAAAAATATATTCTTTGCACAGAAAGAGAAAGGATAATCCGAATTTGCTCCAACTTTGCAAATCCTAATATTTGCGTCAGTGCTAGGTCAGGTGTGAAAATGGGCAATATCGGTCCACTCCGTCAAGTACCTCCCCCACAAATGGTCAAAATTTTGAATAATTACAACTCTCATAAAATGTTATGTAAGAGTCCGATTGTCTTCAAATTTCACACATCCCAATATTTATATTAACCCAAGGTCTGGTGTTAAGATGAACAATATCGGCCCACTCCTTCTGGTACCTCCCCCACAAAAGTTCGAAATTTTGAAAAAAAACATATTTTTTGCACAGAAAGAGAAAGGCTAATCCGAATTTGCTCCGACTTTGCGAATCCTAATATTTGCGACAGTGCTAGGACAGGTGTGAAAATGGACAATATAGGTCCATTCCCCACAAATGGTCAAAATTTTGAATAATTACAATCTCATTAAATGTGATGTAAAAGTCCGATTGTCTTCAAATTTCACACATCCTAATATTTGTATTAGCCCATGGTCTGGTGTGAAGGGGGAATACATCCGTCCACTCCTTCTGGTACCTCCTCACAAAATATTGAAATTTTGAGTACCCATGAAGCTCATAAATCGCCAAATTAACATCCGATTCCATTTAGACTTGGCACATCTGTCGAAATATTTATATCATATTTTGGGTCCGATAGGAAATGGGCAATATTGGCCCATTCCTTCGGGATCTGCTCCATAGAGGGTCAAACGTTTGAATAACCTTAACACTAGTCAAAATATATTTAGATAATCGAACATAGGCTGAGAGTATGTCTCTGGCGGCAATACCGACTGATACTTTTTAACTTTTTTTTTTTTTTTTTTTTTGGTATGAATTTTTCCATTTAAACGGGATTATAGCAAGTCAAAATATTCTACAAAATTATTTGTTATATATAGGTCTCAGAAAACGTCAAGAAAATATAAATCATAGCTACGAATACCTAGATATATTAAAAACACATTTAAGGGTTAAATCCGTGTTTATGTGAGTTTATGCAAAAATCGCCCACAAAGCATCTCTCTCGAAAAATGACGTCAAAGACCAACATATTTTACATCGATATTAGCATCAATGTTCCCAAAAAACCCTAAAATATTCCCTAATTTTTTGATATTATGTTGAAAGGAATATTAAGACCTGCTGAGTTTTAAAGGTTATTCATAATGGAGGAGATGCCAGAATTATTGGTCCGACAAATTCCATCTTCACACCAGAGCTACAGCTTTTAGAAATATCGTAATATGCGAAATTTCAAGACAACTGGACTCTTATTTCCCATTTTATAAGATTTATGATTTTTCAGAATTTTACAGTGGGCCGATACTGTCCATTTTTGCACCATACCTAGAGTTGGTACAAATATTAGGATTTGAAAAATTTTAACTAAATCGAAAGTTCCTTTCTCTCTCTACGAGGTAAATTATTTTCTGTGAAAATTTGACTTTTTGAGGGAAGGTACCTGAAGGAATGGGCCTATATTGCCCATATCCGAACCGATGTAAATTTGGCAATAATATTACGATGTACAAAGTTTGGATTAAATCGGATACCCCTGGGAGAGTTATCGTGCGCACCAGCCATTCAGATAGACGGACGAAGAACCCTAGATCGACTCTAAATGTCCTGAAAAGTATTTGGTCCAAAGAGACCTAGGGTCTACAACCGTTATTTCGATGAGGCACGTTTTGGCCGTATCAAATGATACATACCCTCTGTAGCCATATGGATGATGGTATAAAAAAACAAGTAAAACAATTTAAAAGTATCAGTTGCTTTAGCTGACAGATGTATACCCTCAGCTAATGTTCGATTATTTAAATATATTTTGACTTCTGTTATGATTACTCAAATTGTTGACCCTCTATGGAGTAGGTTCCGATCTTATGTTATTGGAAATATTGAGATGTACCAAGTCTTATATGGAATCGGATGTTAATTTCGCTTTTTATGAGTTTCATGGATATTCAACAATTTGAGCCTTTGTGTGGGAGGTACCAGAAGGTGTGGACCTATGTATCCCAACTTCACAACAGATCTTTTATTAGTAGAGATAATGGGATGTGCGATATATAAAGAGAACCTGATCCTTATTTCGGATTTTATAAATGTTTTGGTTATACAAAACTTTGACCATTTTTGGGGAGGTACCAACATGATCTCTACCGTTTTTATAACATATCCTGTGTTGATAGAAATATTTAGATGTGCCAAATCTAAATGGAGTCTTATGTTAATTTCGCGTTTTATGAGCTTAATGGATATTTAAAATTTCGACCTTTTGTAGGGGAGGCACCAGAAGGAGTGGGCCGATATTGCCCATCTCCGAACTCGACCGAAGTTTGACAAAAATATTACGATGTACCAAGTTTGGACCAAATCGGATACTCCCGTCGAGGGACCTTTTGACCGTAGCAAATGATATATACCCTCTCTAGCCATATGACTGAGGGTATACAAAACATCTAAGAAGGAACTTGAAAATGTTCAAACAAAAAAAAATCCGTTATACGGGGGCTATACGAAGTAGTAATCCTGCGTTAGTAATTGTCATAGGCTGTAGTACCCATTAAGAATTGTATATACAAAAATTTGAAACCTCTCCTGTAAAAAATGTCGCTAATATCAACCAAATGCGAATAAAGGGAGGTGCCATATATGCGGGCTATGTGAAGACGTGGACCTATATACGAAATTTCAAAAAATTTCGTTAAAAAATTTCGCTAAAATAATCAAAATACCTAATATCGGGGGTACAGCTATATGGGGGCTATATGACAATTATCTTCCAGGGGTAAAGTATTCAGATGGAACTCCTTGTGTGGATTTTCAGACAATTCCATTGAAAATTTGAAAAAAAATCATAAAAATACCGAATATCGAGATTTAGCGTTATATGGGGGCTATGCGATATAGGCAATTCTCTTCCAAGGGTTAAAATACTCAGAAAGAACTCCTTGTGTGGATTGTTAGAAAAATCCCTTGAAAAATGTGTCTACAATCATCAAAATACCGAATATCGGGAGGCACCTTTATATGGGGGATATACGATATCGTGAACCCATATGTACAATTCCCCTCCAGAGGGGTAAAGTATTCAGCGGAAATACCTTATGTGGATTTTCAGACAATTCCATTGATAAAGGCGACTAAATCATCAAAATACCGAATATCGGGGGTTCCATAATATGGGGGCTTTATGATAACGTGGACCTATTTCCTTCCACTTTGTTAGATCTAAAATTATTATTTCGATGAGTTACAAACGGAATGGCGAACTTAATATATCCCTCATAATAGATATAATGGAGGGTATAAAAAAACTACCAGTTGGAAACTATTAGAGCCTTGAACGCGGAATTAAATAAATTT